TCGATTAGTTGATTAAACTATATTTAACATTCCTAGTTCCAACTATAGTCCATGCCATAAAACTTCTAGAACAGAGAACTCAGTAGGGAAGTTAGAGGAATTAAAAAGTTGTAGTTGGGGCAGTCCTCTTATGTATGGGAACAACTGTCAGTTAATTGGGTTGCTTACTATTTGAATTATTTTTAGTGGCATATGTATTAGTATTCAGCACAGTGTTAGATGATAAAATTTGTCCTTAACACCAATATTTTAGGATAAATTACTGTAGTTTAAATTAATTCAGATTTTAAAGAAGGCAGTTTATAAATCCATTTCTAAGATGCAAAAATAAGTACTGTACTGAAAGTAACTTTAGCAAAAGTCCAGAAATTATTTTAAGTATATGTTTTAACTTGAGCTATTTTAACCCTTAACATGCCAATGAACCCTATAAAGAGTTTATAATAGGGGGGTTGGATGGCAAATTTAAAACTGTTATGTACTGTAAAGAGACAAATTAAATAAATAAAAAGACATCTAGATAAGTAGAACTAAAGTCATCTGTGAAACAAATGTCAGTGGAAGAATTTACATTGGTGTGAAAGGTGTAAGATTTGATTCCTTGGGAATTGCACTGGAAATCTGACTCTGTTGGTCAAAAGCCGCTACATCTCCTTGCCTCCATCGACAAGCAGACAGTTTAGCTCCCAAAATGGGCAGGACTGATACAAAATACAGCCTGTCCCACATAGCGCACGTCTGTGGTTATCTACAGAAGTTCATGTTTATGAATTTGTATTGAAGCTCCTGTAATTTAAAACTGCTTTCATTTTCCTGCAGTCTAGACAAGCAAGGACAGCACAGTAACCACCATTTATCTTCCACAGTTATGAATTTCTTTCCCCCGGCACAGTGTGCTTTCCTGGTGCAAGTTATAACTCATGCACAAGCTTTGCATTTTGGCCCTACGTGTTATTTTTCTGCTTGAAATATTAAATGGATTACATTTATGTAAATCATATTTATGTAACTTAGTTTGGAACTACTACTCCTTCCCCTCCAGTAATGTCATCAGCAAGTCTGTAAGTTAACCATTCCTTCATAACATGCAAATGCTTAAAAAACAATCATTTTCCATATGCCCTTTTCCAGGATAATCTCCTGAATTTTAAGCAGGCATGTTTAAATTATTTAGACAGACTAGGAATAGTTTGTGTTTCCTGCCCACTTCAGAGGGCATATTTTGTTGATAAATGTTCTTTAAAAATATAGACTAGAAACGTTAATGGGTCATTGTTAATTCCGAGTCAATATTATTCAGGATAATCAAAGTTTATCACTGGGGAAAACAAACCACAACTCCCTAAAGTAGATATTCCCTACTTGCCTACTTACTCTTTGCTTTACTTCTTTTGGGTTCCTGGAAACTATGAAGACGTGTCTTTTTCTAACTCACCAATGGGCCTGCTTTTTAATAGTTTGGGGGGATGCCCGCCCCAAAATCTCCATCAACGTTGTAATAAGTAGCACATCTTTAGAAAATGCTAAGTGGTATTTTAACGGGGTGGCACTCAGCCGCTGAGACCACGTGTCTGGACAAGCGCACGTGCCTGCACTTTTCTGTTTGAAGCTGAAAGCTTCTTGGGTAACTCAGCCCTTCAGCTGAGTCACACCCTGTGTGAATCAAACCCCTTCTGGAGTACACCCTTTACAGGGCCTATCTCAGTGCCCTCTGTAATGCCTCTCTTAGTCTGTCTTTGAATCTGTTTCCCCACGCTGGTTGAGAGTGGTTGTCTTCAGGGCTTTCCCTCCTGGAGATGGTGACTGCCAGCCTGCCTGTTCACCTGCCTCCCTCACGGTCTGCATACCTTGAAGGCTCCAGAGATAGTGACCACAACTCTGTTCTTCAGCTACCTTCTTGGTCCTTGATTGGCCACTTTTTCTGCCACCACTCTTGCCTCCTTGGATGGCTTCTTTATTGACCTTTTCTTCTAGGGCAAGCTGTTGGCAAATTGGTCCTGCTTTGAGCTGAGGTTTGGACTAGATGAAATTCTGAGGTCTCCTCCAACCCTAATCTTCTATTATTCATATTTTCCAAATTGAATAGAAGGTAGAATACCAATAAAAAATGCCATTGATGGTGTAAAGAAAATATTGTTGTCTAAACAGCTTGTAAGTACATGGAATGCTAGGGTGAGTGTACGGTGCACCAGTTTTTCATGCAGTAAAATCTCATGTGGTCGCTGCTATAGCAGACTTTAAAGGGTCACTCTCTGTCTTACCATATGCTGATGTTCTGCATGGACAACGCAAAGCTTCTTGCAGATCTAATAGCCTCTGGCATTAACAGCCATACATATAAGAATATTTTGGGGATATCTAATGATTTTTAATCTGGTAATCTTATTTTAAAAGCATTAATTTTTTTTGCAAAACAAAGCCAAATACCTTGATATTTTGACCTAGCACTATGCTGTAATGGTAATAATGAGACTATTATGTGCCCAATAGAAAGTTATCCATCCCAGCTATTTTGTATATGTAAACTGCAGTTATGATTCAGAAGGCTGACTTGGGGAATGACTCACAGCAAGATAATGTTTTACTTAATCTTTAGTTTTCTGGCTGAGCATGTGGTTGGCATACCAGATGCTATTATCTGGCTTTCTTCACTCTGAGGCAAATTGCTTCAAGAACTGTTAGCTGCAAAAATCTCATTTTGAATAGCTAATAGCTCCCTAAATTATCATCACAACCTGTTTTGTTTTCCTTAGTGCTCTACATTAGGTATATACAATAAGTATTTGAGTAATTAATATTGTCCTGGCAGCTAATTAGCTGGCTGTTCACATCAAGAATCCCTATGTACATTTTAAGTAGAATAAAAAGTGTAAAAAATAGTGACCATAAGATGAACATTAAGGCTCTGTGAACTTATTTGTGAGGGCTATGTAAAAGAGGGGAAGAATTGTTCACCCACTTGAAGATGCCTTTCCTTTTGTGAAGGACATTCGGCTGACAAGACTCCAGTTCTTGCAGGTATATACATTTAAAAATCGAGAAAAGAGGAGTTGAAATCTGCTCATTAAAACACTATCTGTTCCACAGCCATAGAGATGGCAATTGTACATGTGCTTTGTGATTCACTTTAAAGTTAGGAATTTGAAACCAAGTAAGTTCAGTCCTTTGGTTTTATTTCATTATCTTAAGAGTTTTTTCTGTCCCATTACCATAGTATTTAAGTGCTGAATGCATCTGCAATTCTTTTCTAAAACAGCTGCAGGAAGTTGTGTTGGTAAGGTATGTGGCATTCTTTCCTCTGATGGTACTGAACCAGTGCTCCAGCATCATAAAGGCACTGTACTGCTGTAACTGCGAAACAAAAAACCTAAATCCACCAGCATCCTGATTACTTCTGGCTACAGATAGTTCTTTGGTATTTTTTGCAAAAGTGCAAGGATTTATTCTTGTGTCTGTCAAATTTCCACACTCCATCAACAATAAATTCTCCCGTTATTTTCAGGTGAAAAAGAGGAGTGGTTTTTTTTTCTTTTAGTCAGATATATATTAAACAAGAAAAATGATTCACTTGTGGAGTTCAGTTTACTTCAGGAACTCTGGACGCACGCACAGCTCCATTGGACTGAATCTCTTTACAGAAGTGAGGCTGAAATTTGTACAGTGCTGTGGCATAAAAATCTCTATCAATAAATAAAATATCTTGAATACATACCATTTTATTAACAGTAAAATTAATAATCATCTGATAATTTACATTAATTTTAGACAGTTCATTTCATGTTTTGGATTTTTAAACAATTAGCATTAGAAGTGGTGATCAGGTTATTTGATTTCCCTTTTTCTCAGATCATTATTATAGGTGCAATTTTATATTTGTTGTTTCCGAGTAACATTTGAAGAGTTAGTCTTTTGCATGAGCAATGTTCAATTCAGTATAGTGCTGAATCCAGATGGAATCAAAGGAACAAGCTGATTAAGCCTTGACCAGCATGCAAGGGTATTTTCATGAAAATTAGTCTGATTCTCACTTTGATGTTGTGCACATGTGCTTTGCTAAAAAGGAATGTTTCAGATTTTCCTTCACATAATTCTGCAGACTTGCTCTACAGTTACTTGACTCATGCTAGACTGGTAACTTATGGAATGCATTTGATTTTTGTCTTTATTCAATAGTATAGACAACTGTTGCTTGCAATTCTGAGAATCCTTGAAGTTATTAACCCAGTTATATTCAGCCAATACTTGCATTGATTATAGATATAAATTGTAATGTTGCCAAATAACAATTTATAGGTAGAAACATTTAGTTTTCTGCAATCTCAAGTGATGCTGCTATTTTTCCGGATTTTAGGGTAATGTTTTTAACATGTAACAAAGAAAGTGGGTGGAATATTCTTTCAACTGGTAATGTAAAACAGATTTATTTTCTAACTGTTTTCAGGTTTTCTAAAACTATACTGATAGTTATTTGGAATTAATTCTTTTGGCTTTATTTGTGGATCCATTCACTTGCCTACCCTATGTTGCTTCTGCATGGTGTTATCTGTTTCCATCTTCAATTTCAAGGCATTGCTCATCTTCTCTTCCTCTGAAGCCATACTCTCATTTTCTTCTTCTCTTCCTCTCACTGCTTTGTGATTTCAAAGACTTTCTTTGCGTCCTTCACCCACTGTCTCTTCCGTTTTCCACCTGGAATGATCTCTCTTTCATGGATTAAGTAACTGGCTTCTTACTTGAAAATCTTTCCTTAAATCATGGACTTTCCACCCAGTATTTCATAAAAGTAATGCCCCTTTGAGCTTGCCACCATTGTTTTAAACCTGAATTATGTTGCCTCTATTTCAATTACATTGTAAGCTGCTCAGAACAGGAACTGTGACATCTTATGTTTGTATAGCTGAAAATGCACAGATCACATTTGATGATAGTGTTGGCTTTTTAAAATTTTTCTACATCAACAGAAATCTTTTAATACTCGTAGTGATTTTGCTTCTTTTTAGACCTAATGCTCAAACCAACACCAGAAATAGCAAGACACAAGGAAGAGGAAGATGAATGTGACTACCTTGCAAAGTACTTTAGTGTTGTGTGGTGTAAAGCTTCAAAGAAAAAACACAAGAAATGGGAAGGTGATGCTGTTCTTATTGCAAAGGGAAAGTCTGTGATACTGAAAGATATGGAAGGCAAAGACATTGGAAGAGGTATTATAGATTTACATGTAGCTGTTGCTTAAATGTTGGCCTAAAAATAATGTGTGTGTAGAATGGGAGCAAAAAACTCCAAGAGAAGCAGAGAGGGCAAAAAACTAATTGGCATCAAGACTGAGCTTGATAAGGTTATGGAGGGGATGGTAAGATGACATTGGCTATGAAGAGATGTAGCTCATCTGTGATTGGTAGCTGCAAATATGACAGTTATTGATGGGAAATAGATGGGAAGGAATCTCACTACAGAGAATTCTTTCCCAGGTTAGTGAGTGTTCCTCCTGACATCACACTTTCATACTGGCACTTGCTGAGGCAAAACTTTTGTTTTTGGCGGACAGGGGAGAGAGGGTTTAGCACCTCTGAATAACAAAAGTTTTGTCATTCAATTGTCATTGTAGACATAACCTGAGTTACATCAGGTACAAAAGCATTGAGCTCCCAGTCCAAGGAGAGGGGCTAGAAAAGAAGGGCTGACCAGATTAGCAGAACTGTCAAAATAGAGGCACTGGGCCTTGTTGATGTCAGCCGCTCAAATAATGCACTAGGAAAGTGGGTTTGTACCAGGGACAAATTTGTGGTAGAGGAAGCAGGATTATTTGTATATACTCTGATCAGAGGTCTGTTGAGTGGGTGAGATTGGAGCTGCACTTTTCAGGTACAGTGAAATAGCAATAAATACTGTCTTTGCCTGAAAAGCAAGCCAAAGTTGTTGATGCAGAAAATTTTAGTCTTTCCAATCTTGGCATCAGCTACTGTAAGATGTATTTTGATTTTATATTAAAAATAAAAAATAAGGCTTGTAAGCTACAGGTTTTCATCAGCTCAAAATTTTTGCCTGAAAAACAAGCAACAATTTAAGTTGCCAGCAAAGCCAAAGTAGACTATTTAGTAAGAAACTACAATTTTACTATGTGTTTCTACAAAATATACTTGTATTTGAATGTAAGACAGAGATGACCTAGTAATTTGTTGCAACCCTAGTGGTGCAAACGTTGCTACTCCTTGGCACTTTAATTTGCCAGGTGGCAAATTGTGGTATGTGTGGGAGAAGGCCCATGTTATAAGTTGGTACTGGGCCCAGATACATTATGCTTAGCCCTGGCTTGAAGTAGCCATGACATGGATGCCAGTTTCTCTAGGCTCCAGCAACCACTTCAGTTTACTTGAGAGAATATTATAGTCTGAAAATTGGAATAGCTGCACTTTCTTGTCAGAACCAAACTGAATTCTTACATACTTTCCCCACCTATTACTAGTGGTACACACAGTACTAGCTTATTGTCGCAGATTGCTGACTGGTCACGTGGTGCGGGCTTTCCCCATATCCATCTGCTAAATTGCATTAAATGGCAGCTAAAGTATATTATTTTTAACTTTTTCCATATAAGCCATTGCCATGATTGCCACGGGCATATTGAGAGGTTGCATATGGAACAGGGGGATGGGATGGCTCTTGTGATAATGAGTGAGGAGGAGAGGAATGGAATAGCCAGTGAAACAATCTGTTCAAGATGTGGTTTATTCTGTGGAAGTAGTTTGGCTATTCTAAGATGGTTAAAATGGTTCTTATGTATTCTAAGATCTAAATACATGCTTGTATTCAGTTATACAAAGATAAGTCACAGCAGTTTTGAAAATATTCAGTACAACAATTTCCAGATGATATTGGTACACTTCAGTTTTTTTCTTGGTATTGTGATTTGCTTGAATGACAAACCTTGTTGCTATTTTGTCATCTTAGTATGAAAGGTTATTCAAATTCATATACTTAATTATTAAAGATTTTGTTGACATTTCTGTTTTCATTTCCTGCAGTTGAATATTGATATTAAGGGAGTGATGCCTACTGTGTTGCTTAATTAACTGCTAAATATGAATTATTATTTTAGGTACTGGATATAAATCTAAAGACCTTGAAAGTCTTGGTGAAGGTCAAACACTGATAATTGGAGGAAAAGAAATTGAAGTGATGGGTATAATTTCAGCAGAGGAGTTTAACAGTGGCAAGTGTTTTCAGAATGATGTAGGAACTTCATCCATAGTTCCAACTGCTTCTTCACAATGTTCCCTGAAGCCATTCTGTTGCCCATTAAAAAATCTCTGCAATCCAAGTACTAAACAAAATCTACTTAAAGATTCCCAGAACTACAAACCTCGCCATGATCCAGATGCTTCAAGTAAGCTTTAAAATTCTGTTATTTATTTAACCATCCACTGTCCTTTAGTTTAAAAAAAAAAAAAAAGCAAGCAAGCTGAATGCATAACCAAGGTTTTGATGTTCTCTATCCAAGTGCTGAATGAGAATCTATGGGTAATCCAGTGAAAAATCAAGTTTAATCAGTAACACCAGAACAGGCTTCTGTTCTACAAGTAGCAGATGTTCTGTAAAGCAAGAGATTGGAGGCTGTGTCACTGACAATTGAGAATGTATCCTAAAAGAATCCATATACCATAGTGTGTTATATAGGCAGTTCTTTATAAATATTTGTGATGGCTATGAAAATTGTTTAAATCAGAATGGTTCCAAAAATAGACTAGTGAAGAAAAATGAATGTACTGAAAAGAGGAACTGACAAATACCAAATATTCTAGAAAAGTTCTAACTTTCTACCAAGTTTAATGGAGTGTTGGCGGACGACACCAGCGTGGTGTAGGGGCTAAGGAGTTAAACAAAGTTAGAAGAATTGCTTCCAGTGGAGTCTGATCCCCCATAGTCACCTATGTGCAAACACAAAAAATAACTAATAGGTCAAGTTCAATGACACCTACTGCAGGGAAGAAGTTCTGTACCACAACATTATAGTAACTTTGTGCTGTCATCCCATTAAATTCTACATGTTAAAGAGAATCATACTGGGAGAGTACTTGTATGGGAGAGCCCTAGTGAACATCTGTAAGTGCAGGAAGTAGTGTTGAATATTTAGAGGATTCATATCTTCCATTTGTTTTTAGAACCTGTAGTGCAGTCTGCTGGCTAGAGACAATATTTTGGAGACAGCAGCATCCTGTTTCAGAAGAGAGAAAAACACCAACTTTATTGAAGTGTTATCAAACTAAATTATTCATAATTTTAATTTTAAAATGCACCTAAATCACAACTTAGCATTCACACTGCAGTTTGTTAAACCTCATCCCATTGCTATCCTTTGTGTGTTATCTCCTAAGATTATAAGGTCTTCAAGGTGGGCTACCATGTCTTTCTACCTCTATAACTTGCCTACTACCCTAGACTTATACAAATAAATAATAATAAGGTCTAACCACATGTTATCATCTTACGGCACATGTAATAATAGAATTGTTAATAGACCAGTGTTCTGGTCTAATTCCAGCTTTATTATGTTCTGTCTCCCAGAATACCTTGTTGTGGTTTCAAGATATCCACATTCAGCCCTACATTGCTGTGTGGTGCTGCTATTTTCAGCCACAGAGTTGGCTGCATTTTGAGATCTGAGTTTTTCTCCAATTTTCTGTGTCTTGGGGACTAATCATGTGATGAATTTGAGTGTCTGCCTCAAGCTGAGTCTCTCAACACCCATGGAAGTAGAAAGTACTCAGAACCCTGCTGGATGGGGACCTTTAATCTCCAAGCTAGCATGAGTAGGGAATGTTGTACATGTTGATTGTCATCTTATGTTGCTCAGTATTAACTCCTTCCAGTGCTGGTGGGCTCCAAAGTATTCTGACCATTGCTCTGCAGTCTTTGAGGGGGGATGATGAGAATCATGTATACATATGGAAAAAAATATAGCGTTAGCCACAGTGTTTTGATAACCTCTATTTTGAGTAATTATGTTCTGTATTCCTTGCAGTATTATGAGCTATAAGTATGGATGAGCTATTTTCCCTCATTTCCTGCCCTAAACTGATTATTGTTGGTAATCCTCCATTGAACAGCTGCTATAGTTGATCTAAAAGGTGGCTGATTGTAGTAAGTGATGGTTAAAGTGGTTCTTATGTATATTAAACTTTTAGAGAACTTTGAAACTTTTAGGATACAAAGCATTGTTTTAATAGTTATTTTATTATTTATATCAACACTGTATCCAGGTATTCCTAAGTAACAATAGGAGCTATTCTTTGTTTAGGAATGATCAATATGTTAAAAAGCAATTTTAATCAGTTATTGAAATGTAACAGATAGATATCTTGAAAAAACAATACTTTTTGCTTACAAATACCAATTCTCTTACCACATCTGTGTATGTTTGAACTTTAAGATTCTTTAGTTATGCCACGTCCAACTCCAGATCACCAGCGGATATTCAATAAAGCTGGTATACCTGTGGTAGATGTAGTTGTGGATCCTTACCTTGTAAATCATCTTCGCCCACATCAGAAAGAAGGAATTGTATTCCTGTATGAGTGTGTGATGGGAATGAGGTAGGAGAACAACTGTCTTGTTCATTTTAACTGTGGTAATTTTTAGCTTGTTTAAAAAAAACTCCCAAAACTAGTGATGTAACAGGTTAACTGGTTACCTAGTAAGCATTAGCCTTAGCAGCATGCCTGCAGCTCAGTTTGGCGGGACCCCACCTGGTTGGAGCAGCCCCTGCCCCACCCATGAAGGACTGGGTTGGAAGAGCCCTGCGCCCACTGTAGGCTGACTAGACTCCAGCCAGGGGGCCCCTGCCTGAGGCAGCCTCCTCCATAGGACCCCTGCCACTGTGCACCAGCCCTCCATGGTTAACCAGTAGAATGATTAAAATTATATCATTTAACTGGTTAACTTTTTTAATTGGTATTTACATCTCTAATCAAAATTGAGATGCATTCTATAGATCTATACTAGAAGAGAATGGTTGAATTATCCTATAAACCATCTGACCCAAGCCAAAGTGCAGTGTGGTTTGGTAATTCAGAAATTTGCAGTGAAGTATAAAGGTATATTGATATGCCACTCTGTTGAAAAATCAATATATTACTTTTATCTTTTTTAACATTAAATTTTTATACTATAGCCGGCTTATGGTATGTGTTCATGTACTTTAATGAAAATTAAGTATTTTAATAATGCGACAATGCTAAGATCTATAATGTTGGGTGATTGGTATATAAATCTAGTAATATACATGAACTTCACATAAATATAAAGAACTTTTTCTGGTTTACCTGAATGAAAAACTACAATAGATCATCATAGGAATAAGTAGGTTTTATATACTTTAAAAAACTCCACCATATTCACCAGATCAGAATGCAAATAGTTTCAGGGTTGTAACTATTTCTTACAGACTAAGTGGCAGATTTGGAGCTATTCTTGCTGATGAAATGGGCTTAGGAAAAACACTGCAATGCATTTCGCTAGTCTGGACTCTCCTACATCAGGGACTCTATGGATGCAAGCCTATAATAAAAAAGGCACTGATTGTCACCCCTGGCAGTCTGGTGAAGAACTGGAAAAAAGAATTTCAGAAATGGCTGGGAAGTGAAAGGATCAAAGTGTTTACAGTTGATCAGGTGAGATTTATATTAAAAAAGGTGAAAACTTTCTCAAATGTAAAAAGGTCAACATTCTAAGTAAGCTGGTTTTTTTAACAAGCTAATATTTGTCTGCAGCATTTGCAACAGAAGGGAAATGTATGCATGAAAACTAAAAGTGAAATTGATTAGAAACTGACTATTTTAATTGTCCAAAATTAGAGCAATGCAAAAAATTTTAAAAAATGAAAAGCAAAATAGGGGAAATAATGTGGGGAAAAACACTTACAAAAAACATCACAGAGTAAAGATTATTAACAAACATATAGCAAAAAATATTTTTTTAACCTGATACTTTCCTGGTGTATATATCTGAGGTAACAGAGAAAATTCTGCTTTCGAAATCTGACCTAATATTTGTTGTGAATAGATTAACAGTTTGGTTTGGTCTACATTTATAAGTTAAGTTAGGAGTGTGAAAAATTCACTACAGCAGCACAGGTATAGTGATATAGCTTTGCAACTTACCATCCTGATGCCTGATCTACACTATGAGGTTAAGTCAAAATTAGTCCCATTATGTAGATTTTGTTAAGATTGAGTCTACCTTGCCAACTCCTTTCTGCTGACCTTAAAGGCTTTTAAAGTTGACTTCATTACTCCACCTTGATGAGAGAAATAGTGTTACATTTGACCTTCTGGGGTCAAATTTGGTGTAGTGCAGACCCAGTGGAGTTCAAGTTGATATTCTTGAATTTCTAAAGTGGGAATGTGCCTATCCTGGCCAGCACTTTCAACTCTGCTGCTCACCCATGTACACAGGAAAAGCCCCAGGAACCTCTGAATTTCATTTCCTGTTTGGCCAGCATGGTGAACCCAGCAGCACCTGACCATGAATGCGCAGGATCGCAAACAAGCTCCAGCATGGAGCATGCAGGAGATTCTGGATCTCGTTGCTGTGTAGGGAGAACAATCTGTGCCAGGCAGAACTCCAAAGTTGCAGGAAAAACACTAATATCTATGTCAAAATTATACCGGGCATGAGAGGATACTGTTGGGACGCTCAGCAGTGCTGTGTGAAAATAAAGGAGTTCAGCCAAGTGTACCAGAAGACAAAGGAGACAAATGGTCTGTTTGGGTCAGAGCTTCAGACAAGTCTTTTCTACAGAAAGTTGCACTGGATTCTAGGGAGGGACTCAACCACTATCTCAAAACTGTCTGTGAATGTTTCCCAAGCAACTCTTCAGGCAGCCTTTGGCAACAATGAGGAGGACAGTGTAGATAAAGAAGAGAAGGAGAAAGCGAATGCTTAGCTGGCAAGTGGAGGATCTGATCTCACCAACAGCCAGGACCCTTTTCTAACTTTGGAGCCAGTCCCCTCCTAGGACCTATTGTTGCCGGACCCTGATGGTGGGGAGAGCACATCTTGTGAGCTCACATTTGTAATCACACTACAGTAGTTAAATGTAATTGTGTTTAAACTTTTATCTGCCATGAAGAATTGGGGTACATTGGCAGCCAGTCTTCCTACACTGCAGGAACTCCCCAGAAAAGTTTATGTAACGGGACTGTTACCCCTTACTAAAACTCTGTGGGAGTTTTTGGTTTGCCAGCTCGCAGTATCTGAAGGGGAAGAGTTCATGAGACTGATTGACCCCAGAGACAATGGAAAGCAGCCAACACTCCAGCTCAGCCTGATTGACAGGTTGGACAGGCCAGTGAGGAAGGGGAGAGGCCAGGCCCCGTCCTCCCTGTGAGCTGGGATTGTTCTGGCTCTCTCTCTGAACAAACAAGCTGTGTGCAGAAGAGGTCCTGCAAAGACAGAGGGCTGAAATAGGAGTACAAGCTGTGTGAAGAAGTCCTGCAAAAACAGAGAGCTGAGAGACTGCTAAGAGGAGCAAGCTGTGCGGAGGGGCAGTTTTTGCAGCAGCAGAGCCAGGCATACACAACTCAAGGAGAGCAGACCCTGTGTTGAGCAGCAGACTGGCAGTGCTCAGAGAGCCAAAAGGAACAGAGAAGCAACACAAGGAGCTGGAACTGGCCAAGCAGCACAGCCTGCAGCTGGATGTGGTGAGCACCTGGGACCAGCAAAGTGTGGGGAAAGGCTCTGGACTGGGAGAGGGGTCTGGCCACTTCGAGCTTGAGACTGTGTGGTCACTACCAGAGCTAGCGTGTCCAGCCTGTAGCCCCCCTGCAGCATATCCAGGGCCTCTAAGAAAGAGACTGTGGACTGTCCTTACACCCTGCAGACTGCTGTTTTGATGTCCCTGTGCTACAGAGCAGGGCTGGGTGTTCTCATTTAACCATTCTCATTTTGTCTTATTCTTTTCTCTTTAATCAGTTGTTGTTTAATAAATTGTATTTGCTTTGAACCTTATGAAGTGATCACTGGGCCAAGAAGGCCTGCAGTGTAAAGAGAGCACCTCGGAGTGGGGACACCCTAACTCCTGCCCCTAGTGACTACAAGGTCAGGGATTAAGCCCCAGGAAACCTGGGCCCAGCCTTGTTGGGGTTTCAAGGGCTCTGCTACTCCGGAGAGTGGAGGGGGAGCCCTCAGGATCAGGGAGCCGTGGGGTAAAGGAAGTGGGAGCGGGGACTCAAATCCTTTCGCTGGTTCATTTCCCCGGGGTGTATAGAAGCCAGGAAAGTTCCCCACAATAGTGGGATCATTCCCCCGCTTACATTTATTCATGTGTCTAGAGAGGAGTGGGAATCCTCTCTGCATATCGCTACAAAGCTGTTATAGAGTCATTCTTCATCTCAGTGTTTGCATCTATAAAATCACGGTGTACCAGGGCAGCCACTTAGCCACTTTCTGATTTGGCCCCTCAAGGCTGGTGAAGACTCTTTTGCATCTTGCCTCTGGTTCCCCTTTTTATAGCCCCTTAAACTTTAATACAGTTTTGTAGCTAATGCACTGATACAAACACTCAGACATCCTGTTAAGAATTGGATAAGTAATAAAAACCACTCAAGACAGTCCTCAGGGTCCTCAAAATAAATTCCATCATTACAACCTGAAAATTCATACTCAGTTCTGGCTCTTCTAACCCAATCTGCTATTCATGAAGCTGCCGCTTTTAGCCTTTCATAGCGAGAGTTCAGCCATCTGGTTCTGGCTTCCTTCTCTCCATCAACATCTCCTAACTTCTCACAGAGAAGTCAGCATATCTATAGTGCCTATGCTCCATTACAAGAGTTATAATACCTACCTACCAGAAATGTTGAAAGCATGAATGAATGCTTTGAAATGATTTCAAATTATTGTTAATTCCATAGTTCATATTCATATGCCAATTATATTTGACCACAGCAAAGTATATAATAGAGAGTAATAAATAAATAGGGTTGCTGACTCACTGGATCAGATTACTTGGATTCAGATGGAGATGTCTGTCTGGTAGCTGAGCTTTGGCTGGAAGTGAAAAATATAATTTTTAAAATTCTGGAGTGTTGAGGAAGCTTCAGGCTGCAGCTTGTGGATTGGAGTCATGTTCTTTGTAGTTGGAGGGAGTCAGCATTACTTTTTCCCAGGAAGAAAGGATTTGTCTTCCTTTAAGGAAACAGTTGTTAGGTCTCTACTGAGGAAACCATCTGTTGCTTTGGGTCATCTTAACTATCAATCTGTATCCAACATACTGTCTTTGGGAGAGCTCATTGAAAAAATGCTTTCACCTTTTAGATCATGTTGCAAGATTGATCTGTTGGGTTTTGAAGTAGAAAGGTGCTCTGAAAGATTTGATGTGGTTGATTGTGGAATATTAGTATACCCAGTATTAATTAGTAGTATGCCAAACGAGCTATTTGTGATATAAACTATTCTATTATGCCCAAATAAAAATGTTAGTCTCTAAGGTACCACAGGACTCCTCATTCTGTTCCATTAAGTTGCTTTGGGATGAAGACTGTCTTGTTGCAAGGTTTCTTTCATATATTTCTGATGTTTTTTACATATAGAGATCATAAGCCCTTTGGCTAATATACAGCATGTCTAAATGGTCCAATGAGATAAAAAGATTTCTATGGACAATTAAATAGGAATGATGTAAGGGTTTAAATAAAAAGGGATGTCGTCATTTTAGAAGTCGTGTATGAAAATGTTACTGTTTTTAACCATCTAATCTTGTGAAAACTTTCTTTTATTATATAGAACTTTTGTTTGTTTTAGTCTCCTAGTGCTGTTCTCAAGGTCTAAAACCTCTGATTCTCCAATACTGCTCAGACTCAGCTATCGTCATCACACAGGCAATTCATATGATGTCACTTTTCTTTATTTCTATAGCTTGAAATAAGTAACTAAAGAAAGAGACCAAAGTAAAGAGAAAACATGACTTAAAAAGAAATTTTGAAGGAAAAAGTCATTGAATGTTTAAAACAAAAGGCCTCATGGATTTTTCCTGACCGCCAGTAAAATATTTTGGGAAAGATTCTCTGCTGGATACACCAGAGCAGGAGTGCTGTTGAACTGGTTATAGGTTCCTGATTCCAGCTTCTAGGCCACCCTAATTTGTGCAAGCTAGGTATGCTCTCCTAGGGTTAGCAATGCTATGTGGCTCATGAAAGGAGTGATGATTATGTGATTGAATCAAAACAGTTAAATAGAATATTGCAAATTTATTACAACCACAGCATAAACTAGTTTTTACTGCACTTTGTGATCCCATCATAAATGTACTGAGAGTCATTTAGGCTTTTTCATTATCGCAGTTATAATTATCTATTTGAAACGTGCCAACACTGCCAGGGTTAAGTAGCTGTTAAACCAAGTCTATAGTTTTCATCTTTGTAGTAATGTGCCTTAGACTTGGTGTACTTGAAGAACAGTGAGCTGTCCAGTAGCATGGTAGTGTTATTCTGTATTGCCATGTTGGGTTTATTTTATAAAATTTATTTTGTAAATTAAGAGTGAAGAAGTGGTCCAAGCCCATGGGGAGGAAGGGATAGCTCATGTCATTCACAGACTCCTGCAAATCTGCAGATATACACTTAATAGCCACAGATATCCATGGACCATGGATGCATATCCACATTTTATATTTAGAGCTCTGCAAAACTCACATATCTATAAGTCTTATATCTGTGCAGGGCTTTAGTCATGCAACAGAAATTCTTCCTGAAACCAGAGAATCAGGGAATAGGATTGATGACATCCAAAAAGAATTGGCTGTGTAATACAACTTTTATTTATGCCCTGCAGGATAACAAAGTAGAAGAGTTCATCAATTCCCCACTTTATTCAGTTCTCATAATCAGTTATGAGATGGTGCTGCGGTCCTTAGACCAAATTCAGGCTATAGAATTTAACCTCCTAATATGCGATGAGGGGCATCGTTTGAAAAACAGCTCCATTAAGACAACTTCAGCCCTCATCAGTCTGCCCTGTGAAAAGAGGATTATCCTGACTGGTCAGTATATTACAGATAGCTTTTTTAGTCTAGCTATAAATTAGGATAACTTCGGTGAGTATGTGAAAGAAAGTTGCAAGTTATACAAGTATGAAAATGTTGACAACGTTATCAGACATAGTGTTTTAGTATATTTTATAGAAATCAACAAGCTCTGACTAGTCAAGTGTAAAAGTATAACTAGGCAGGCTAAAAAAGAATTTGAAGAGAAACTAGCAAAACACATTAAAACTAAGCAATAATTTTTAAGTACATTTGAAGCAGGAAGCATTTAATGGAGCCAATGAACAATCATGATTCTAAAGAAGCTCTCAAGGAAGACAAAGCTATTTGCATCAATTTTCACTGCAGAGAATGTGAGGGAAATTCCCACATCTGAGTCGTTCTTGTTAGATGACAGTTCAGAGGATTGTCACAGGCTGATGTATAACTAGAGAAGGTTTTAGAACAAATTGATAAAATAAACAGTAATAAATCACAGGGGTCAAATGGTATTCAACCAAGAGTTCAGAAGAAACTCCGATTGACATTTCAGAACTATTAACTGTGATATTGCTTACATTGGCCTCTATACCAAATGAGTGGCAGATAACAGATTACTCTAATTTTTATAAAAGACTCCAGGGGTGATCCTGGCAATGACCAGTCTAACTTCAGTAACAGGCAAATTTATTGAAACTAGTAAAGAGCAGAATTATCAGACACATAAAAGAAAATGATTTGTTGGTGGAGAATAAACATTGGTTTTCTTTAGGGAAATAGAGCCTCGCCAGTCCATTAGAATTCTTTGAGGGGTCAACAAACAAGGATAAAGGTGTGGTGTATTCGGACTTTGAGAGAGCTTTTGATAAGGTCCCTCATCAAGGCTCTTATCAAAGTAAGCAGTCATGGGATAAGAAAGGAAGGTCTCATGGATGAGTATTCCCAATCCAAGCAGAAATGCTCAATCAGAAAGTTCTGTTTAGCTAAATGGAAACATTTCTCTACGTGGATACAATAGAATTTGTCATCCCTTGAATAAGTGGGTATTTGTGCGGTGTCAGACTACTTCCTGATTCTCAATATATCATGCATCTGACGAAGTGGGTCTTTGCCCACGAAAGCTTATACTCCAACACTTCAGTTAGTCTATAAGGTGCCACAGGACTTGAAAAAACTGGGTTCTCTCAACCTGTAGAAGAGAATACTGAGGGGAGACATAACAACAGTTTTCAAGTACACAAAAGATTGTTAGAAAGGGGACAGATTCCTCGCCGCTTTTGCAGATTCAGACTAACACAGCTACCCCTCTGATACTTGACATCAATATATCAGGACTCTCTGTGGGACCATCTAGCAGCAACCTGTGCCTCTCATCCTCTGGTAGAATCATAGAAGTGTAGGACTAGAAGGGACCTTAGCAGGTCATCTAGTCTAGGCCCCTGCAATGAAGGCAGGACTAATAACTAAACCATCCTTGATAGGTGTCTGTATATCCTACTCTTAAAAATCTCCAGTAATGGAGATTCCACAGCCTCCCTGGGCAATTTGTTCCAGTGCTTAATTATCCTGACATTAGGAAATTTTTCCTAACATCCAGCCTAACCATCTCTTGCTGAAATTTAAGCCCATTGCTTCTTATCCTATCTTCAGAAGTTAAGGAAAACAATTTATCGCTGTCCCCTTTCTAACAATCTTTTGTGTACTTGAAAACTGTTATGTCTCCCCTCAGTATTCTCTTCTACAGGTTGAGAGAACCCAGTTTTTTCAAGTTTTCCTCATAAGTAATATTTTCTAGACCTTTAATAATTTTTGTAACTCTTTGAATTTTCTGCAGTTTGTCCACATCTTTCCTGAAATGTGGTGCCCAGAAGACTATTTTTACTCTCCCAAAACAAATCCTTGAAAGATCTCATTGTGACCTTCCCACTGGGGAGAAACCAACACCACAATGAGATCTCCATTTTGTATGCCCAGTATTTATCAGACCATGTTTTGAACTGATAGCTATGTGTTCCATATCCTACCAAAATTCTTAATTAACTAGGTACTGAAAATATACTATACAAAAATATAATATCTACCATTGTATGTATTTGTGTTGACTTTAAACTGTGTTGTAGTCAGCAATCATACTTACTATCAATTTCAAGAAAAAACACTTAAATGTACAAAAGTATATATTGAATTATTTTTTCCTTCACGTAGGTACTCCAATACAAAATGACCTGCAAGAATTTTATGCATTAATAGAGTTTGTAAATCCAGGAATACTTGGCTCTTTGTCCACATACAGAAAAATATATGAGGAGCCTGTTATTCGGTCCCGAGAGCCGTCAGCAACAAAGGTACATCATTTAAAAACAAGAGTTCAGTCACAGAGTATAACTCATGAGGCAAATTAGAAAATTCATCTTCGAAGGTACGTCCTCATTTTTTGAGGAGTAATGTTAGTTCGAACCAAGGGGTTTGATTCGAACTAACGCATCCCGGAGCGCACTTCCTGGTTCGAATCTGCTGGCAAGCGGAATAGTGCGCGGGCGAGATTATGCTAATGAAGCGTGGGATATTTAAATCCCCGCTTCATTAGCAATTTCGGTCGGCTACATTTGCATCCCTAGTTCAAACTAGGGAGCAAGTATGGACGTACCCTAGAGAGTCAAATGTAATTTTGACTATTTTTCTTCTTCTTTAATGCATAAACTATGGCTGAGATTTTCAAACAAGCCACATTCCCTTTGGCTCCTCTCTGCAGGGATAAGGAATCCTCAGAAGCCGGCATGGAAGTTTTGGAGCTGGTTTCCACTCACTGCCCTGACAGGGCATGCAGCCTGGGTATCCATGTACATGCAGGCCTGGGGAGGGGCTGGGGCAGAGAGCAGAGTGGAGCCCAGGTACCACTCTACAGTGAAGGAGAATGTTTGAGCTTCCAGCTCAGCACAATCAAGGGAGGGATAACTTGCAACATCCCCATGGGCAAGAGCCACCTCCTACTTGTCACCTTTACTCCCTACTCTGGTCAAACTCCATGCAACAGTGAGAAGTCAGAGCAGGCAGGGCAAATACGTTCAGCCAGTCGGGGTACTTCTGGCTAGTGTGCGGGCTGCCTGCAACACTGTTCCTCTGCCACGAGGAACTCTGGGATACATCTGGAGGACTTCTGGATTCTGAATTAAGCTGGGGCTGAATGCACACAGGGAAGCAGTTGGGCTTGGACCCTGAGTTCCAGATTAACATGAGCTCAAACCCTCCAGCCCTGGGACTCAGGGTTTGATTCTAGGTTAGCAAATTAGCAGTGTGAACACAAGGAGGTTTTGGCTTGAGCTCTCACTTAGACCCAGGTTTAAATTACTGTGATGATATACCCTGTGTATCTTAATAGTTTATCTCTTTCACCAGCGGAATCTGGTCCAGAAAAAGATACTACCTCATCCACTTTGTTTCCCTGACCTCCTGGGACTGACATGGCTACAACACCACTTTCTTTATTGTGTCAGACTCTGTGACCCCAATTCAGTGTTTCCAGGCTGGAACATTGGGCCCAAGGGGGTATCAGACTTATTGGAGAGAGAAGACATTGTAATTTGGTCTAGGGCAGGTGGAGTAACTAGGGATGTCAGTGTGTAGACAACTACATGATTAACTGATAAATCTAGGCTTATCGGTTAATCCTGTCGACTAAACTCATCCCCCACCTCCCTGCTGCCTCTGTATCAGCTTTTAAGCTGGCTCCCCATGAGCACCAGGTCCACCTCCCCTCCCCGCTCATGCTGCTGCCTCTGTAATAGCCTGGCAGGAGGGGATTGACAGAATAGTGAGGACATATAGTGACATGAGGGAAAGAAGGGGGATCAAGCACTTGGAGGGATTGAATAGAAGTTTAATTTCTCACTTGTGCAATTCTGAGGATCTTCTTATGGAAGTTGTCTTCTCTGCTATACAACACCTACTTTGTCAGGAGTAGAGCTCTGCTCTGGCAAGGCTTGGGAGTCTGAGGGCTGGTCTACACTACAAACCTATGTCAGTATAACTATGTTGTTTAGGGGTCTGAAAAATCCACACCCTGAGCGATGTAATTATACCAACCTATCCCCTCCGTAACGTGTAGAGAATTTCTCCCAGAGACATAGCTACCGAGAGATGAGCTTACGGAGATGAATTAATTCTCTCCCATCAGTTCAGAGACATAGCTACCAGTCTTATGGAGATGAATTAATTCTCTCCCATCAGTGTAGAGCACCTTCATTAAAATGATTACTCAAAAAATGAATAAGGGTTCTAGCGCAAAAGGGTTTTTTTGTGCAAAATGGCCCTGTCTACACTGGGGATTTTTCCGCAAAAATCTCTTCCACAAAAAGGATTGGAAGAGAATATGCAAATGAGAGCACGAGAAATGCTAATGAGTGCTTCATTTGCATTTCCTCTTCTGCAAAAGCCTGACAGTGTAGACGGAGCCATAGTGTATTAGCTCTTGCCTAGGTTAAGAGCTTAAAAACTCCTGTGACAAACCAAATACATTGGTGTTAATTGAGAAGGAATTGATCATTAAAACCTTGTCAGAAAGTGGTATCATACATACAAACTGTGCCTGATTAAGAATTGTATATCAAAGAATTGTGGTGTAAATGATCATGCTTGTGAAGTCATATCTAAACTTCTGTCTGTCATATTAGGAAGAAAAGGAGTTAGGAGAGAAAAGAGCAGCAGAACTTACTCGTCTAACTGGACTGTTTATTCTTAGAAGAACACAAGAAATCATAAACAAATTTCTCCCACCAAAGAAAGAGACCATACTCTTCTGTCGACCAACAGTCTTGCAGCTTGGACTATATAGAAAACTCCTTAGGTCTCGAGTTGTTAGATCCTGCCTACAAGGAGTACTAGAAAACAGTCCTCATCTGATATGTATAGGAGCTTTGAAAAAACTCTGCAACCATCCATGCCTTTTGTTTAAAGCCATAAAGGTATCTACTGTATTTTGCTTCAACACAAATTAGACATTCCTACATAAAAAAGTCATTAAAATGAGTTACTGTTGAAAACTGTATCAGTAGAGTTCTACAAATGCTCTCTCAAAATGATGTGCTTTAGAGTTTTCAAAAAATGTAAACACTAGAAAGTCTGGAAGGGAACAATTTAGGATCCAGCCAATTTCCCACTGCTATACAATATTTCCTCATTTTTATGGCCTTCATTGACTTATGCTGCCCACTCAGCTTTAAATTTACCCCCTGAAAATTTGTAAAAATACATACAAATGTTACCATAACAAATGAGTAGTTTATAAAAACTTTTCCCTTCCAAGGGATAGATTTGAATTTTTTGCAATCCATTTGCTTTTTCTAACTGGCACCTGCTGAAACCTCCATGTCTATTAGTCTGCATAACACAAAGAAGTTATCTGCATCTATCTCTTTACCCTCCATTTCTGAAGCTCCATTCCTTGAAAGTTATATTGAAGTTGGGAGCCAGGCTATACACTGCAAATCTGAGGAGGGAGGGTCTTCTCCATCTCTAATTTCTGTGATATCTAACCATGTTCTGTATTACTGATGTATAAGGAGATATTACATTTTACATCAAGAACATATTCACTTGTTCTGAGATCCAGAAGGAAAACAAAGGTTGATTGTCTGAAAGTCTCTGAGTGAAGACAATAGGAGTTAAAAACAAGGGAAATGTCATGTAGTGGGCTACCATATCAAGAGAAGGAGGTGGAAAGCATTTATAGAACAAATAACAGAAGTATGCAATTTTACCAACTTTTACAATTTTTTTTTTACAAAAACCACCACATTAGAGGATCATATAACTGCATATCCACCAATGTGATCTGTGCCGGCAATGCCCCTCTGCCATATATATTGGCCAAACTAGACAATCTCTACAAGAAAGGATTAATGGAGACAAATCAGATATTTGAAAATGTAATACACAGAAACCTTCAGAGGGGTTACTGAGTTAGTCTATAACTGGAAAAACTTAAAAAAGAACAAATAGTCTAGCAGCACCTTAAAGACTAACAAAACATGTAGATGGTATCATCAACAGAAACCTGTTGGAAAACATTTTAACTTGCCTGGGCGCTCATTAATGGATCTCAAAGTTACTGTATTATTGCAAGCCAATTTAAAAAACCAGCTTGAAAGGGAGGCTGCAAAGCTTAATTTCATTTACAAGTTTAATACCAGCAACAGAGGTCTAAATAAAAGACCTTGTGTGGATGGCCCGCTACATTCCACATCCTAATGACATAAAAAACTAAACACAGGGTACTTAAGAGTAGGGGTGTAATAGTATAGTTAATTAACTGATAAGCAACAGTTTATAGGTTAATGCTATCGACTACATGCATTTCCCTCCTCCCACCCTTGCCAGTAAATTTTTTAGCAGGCTGGCCAGCAGCCCAGCTCAGTTCTGGTTTGCACTGGGTCTAGAACCTACTCCTGTTGCAGCTCTGCATTTAAAGCATGTTAGGAGCCAGGCAGGCAGGCAGCCTGGCTCAGTTTTGGCTCGTGCTGAGTGGGAGCTCAGACTCACCTCAGACAGGGGCTGCTGCCATGCCACGCTGCTGCCTCTTTATCAGAATCAGCAGCACTGGGCAACAGGTAGCTGGTCCACAAGGGACACTGGTTTTTAAATTGGCTCCCCTCGTGGACCAGCTCCCACCTGACACCCTGCACTGCTGACTCTGATACAGTGGCTGCCAGCCCTGCCCCTGGTGACTACAGAATAGTCAACTAACCGATAAGAATTCATGAGGTTACTTGAGTATTCAATTAACCAATATTTAACATCCCAACTTAAGAGCACTTAGTACCCACATGTTCAGTTTCATTTAGCATGGACACTCTAATTGACAATTTTTCCCCCTTTGTTTTCCTTCTTTTCCTCCTTCATCCCCTCTTTTTCTCTGCAATTTATTTGGAACCTGGACTCCTTAACTGTATTCCTTTGAAGAAGTGGGTTGTGCCCACAAAAGCTCATGATACCATCTACAAATTTTGTTAGTCTCTAAGATGTCGCAAGACTATTTGTTATTTTAGAAGTATGCAAACATATGACCTCATATTAATGGGGGATTTTAACTACTCAGATATCTGTTGAAAATGTAGCCTAAGAAAACATAAAATCTCCAATTGGAATGTGTTGGGGACAGCTTCTTCTTTCTGAAAGTGGAGGAAGTAACCAGAGCTAGCTATTTTAAACTTTATTCTGCAGGCAGGAGGTGCTCCAGTGTGGCCAGGTCCACTTCCCACCCCTGTTTAAGTGGTTAACCAGTTAAACGTAATGATTAAATGGGATTTTATAGCTCTGCTAGGTGCAGGGTTGAAAGCTGAGCCTTGCTAAGGCTGAAGCCAGGGAAGGGGCTGGCAGCTGGGGACACTGCTGGCGGTGGGACCAGAGAAGAGCTGGAGGCGGGGGCGGGGGCAGAGGACTGGGTGGTGCTCCCTCGCTGCCCCCCAAGGGAGGGGGAATTAGCCTGGACCCTGCTGAGCCATGTACCCTTGGATTTTTCTGCACATCTCCCACAGTTTGGGGACTTCTGCTTTAGCGTTAACATCTAATAGAGATGAATGGAGGAAGTGTAAACCTATTGCAAGAGTGCAGGAGCTGTTATTTGAGTCTGTGTGTCTGTGACAGAAAGAGGGAATACTGTGTTCATTCAGTAAATTTGCTTCACAATTGTAAATGTTAGGAACTTTTTTTAACATGAAAGCTTAACTCCTGTAGAAATTGATGGGATAGAGAGAGTTATATAGACACAAGTTGGCTTTATTGCTGTTATTTTATTGTACTTGATATAGCCATTATTAGATTGTAGTTAAGTGATTTTACTATTTTTCCTCTACCCCTTAATTCTGGCTCCATTATCTCTTTGATAATTGCTCTTCATCCTCTTAGTCCAGTAACTTAATCTCTAGCTGGGAAGAGTACAGTTTTCTCAAAAATAAATGCCTGTTGAGCTCTGTAATAAGATGGCACAGAATGCAGGAGCGGCAAACAAAGCATTAGTGGGTCTGGCCCACGAAAGTTCATCATCTAATAAACCATCTTGTTAGTCTTTAAAATGCTACATAGTCCTGTATTTTGTTTCAGCTACACCAGACTAACACGGCTACATTTCTATCACTATTTTACCTCTCATGTTTCTGATGTGAAGTAATTGCTTTTAAATTGGAGAATCAGGAATGAACCAACAGTATTTTCTTCGCCATCCTCTATTCAATTGTAGATAAGACCTTAGTGTATAGGGTATAGAATCAAGTTTAATTTTATAATAATAAGTTGTAAAAATTGCATTAGAACTAGTGTTGTGATGTTATCAGCCAGAACTTGTTTGTTCATTAATATCTGTGTATTGGTTCTTGGTCTTGTCTCTCTCTGATGCTTTTTGTAACCATGAGAAAATATTGACACATCTTTTTGATTAATGCCTTTTCAAGAAGTCATGCAGCTATCACAGTTGAAGCTTTTTTTATAGGAAAAAGAAAGTAATCCAACTTGTGATGAATGTGAGGAATCCAATCTTTATGAAGGTTTAAGAGATATTTTCCCAGAAGATTATACCTTCACCACTTTCACTGAAACTGACTCAGGAAAATTACAGGTGCTTGCAAAACTGTTGGAAACTATTTGTGAACTCAGTCCTTCTGAAAGGTGAGAGGAAAAGCAAGGTAGGAGAGAAGTATTAGCTACTTTTGAATTTTAGATAATTCCTTTTATTATCCCACTTTCTGTTTTCACGTAAGCATGATGCCAAAATATTCACCCTAAGGGATCTGTCATTCCTGCACAGATATCAAGTATACTTACTCAAATGTACATGTAGTCTACTTGATAGCTTTGCCTCTTGTAAAAATTATTAACATAGGAATTATGCTGGTGAACACTTGTCCAAGTTTCTGTTTTTGTTATTTCTGGACAGATACCTAGGGTTTTTTTTATGCTGAGCTCTACTAACTAAGCAGATGTTTCACACTGAAACTACTGTTCTGTGACACACAGAGACTTTCCAGTACTTTGTATCTCTTGGGGCAATCACTGAATGTGCTCAGTATTTTAAAATGTTCAATAAAATATTTTAATTACTACACTGTGAGCTCTCTCCTGTATAGTCATGTTTATGACTAGCTGTCATTCAGGGTTTGTCTTCTGCTCCACTTTAGGAGATGTTAGCTGTCTCTAAGTGCTTTTCAGAAGAGGATGTCAGAAAGAAGCACTCT